CATCATTTTTCTGCCATTTTAGTAACCTACTATTAAAGACACATTTATATGACTGTTAGAAAAGTTCCAAGCCACATGAAGAGAGGACATCCTGCTTGCTGTGGAGAAGTCCATTGTACTTCTCCACAGCTAGGATTTTTGCTCATGGCTGGTACAGTAGTTTCCCCTGTCGGCACTCTTCTGTCCAGCATCCCTCGATCGAAGGAGCTGGTTGCTAAATCTTTGGCTGAACTGTGGTTGCAGCCAATCAGCTGTGAACACCGTTCGGGTATCCTGACAGCAGCCGCTGCCAAAATACAAAAATCACATCAGGAGATTTCTCCCTCCATGCTGTTTAGCGTGGATGGAGGAGTCTGTTATTTAAATTTTTTCCTTCAGCCCGCAGGTTGAATGAAAAAAAATATAACAATGTATAGCCTACTTAAGGTTTCATTTAAAGTAAAAGCAAGTACCTGCTTTGATGGGCAATGTACTAAAATAAATGGTATAAATAAGTGGTGCTGTCCTATTTGTCTACCATGCAAACTTTTATTTGCTGCTAATGTAAATAGGAGTGCCACGAACTCTGTAGTTTGACCCCTCCACTTTTTTTTTTTTTGCACACAGAAACTGCAGCTTTATCGTGGCATCATCACACTCTGCTGGCTAATATAAGCATTTCTCTCTCCACTAATGGGGTCTACCTTAAAGTTAATTTACAGTGTTGCAGCCAAATTGGGATACCACCTATGTTCCCATTCACATACATTAAAAAAATTGAAGATTGTTGTTGCCATTTTACTTGTTGTTTTCTGAAAAAAGGAGGGGGCTGGGGAATTCATGTTTACTATAATTAACCTGGTCTGTGCTGGCAGGTCTCATCTGTAAACTAGATTTGAAAAGTGTTTTTTCCTAATGAAGGTTTACAGATTGAGAAGTTTGGCTTCTTGCATTGTATGTCAATGAGGGGAAACTCACTCAGTGCCCACTTTATCCTGGGGGAAGACTTACTTTAAAAATGTGCATAGTAGCTTTCAGGCTGGCCAAAGGCCTAATCCAAAGAAACGGCTAAAAGTTAACAAATACTTGGTTTTAATTATTTTTGGTATGCTGTGTAAATGGTAATACATAAGCATAAAAAGAGGTTTCTCACATTTGACTGTAAAAGTGGAAATGCACTTTAAAGTCTGTGTGTACTAACACTTCTGCATATGAAATAATACAGCTATCTTTCCCCTGCCTCAAGCCGATTAATTTTGTGTTCTGCTTCACGCCCACATCAAAGCTCGATCAGAATCATGAACTTCTACTGAAATGCATATTTCACATACTTTACTACTGTAACTACTATATTATTAATCCATCCGACTAATAAGATTACCATTAAACACTAAATTGGCATTGCTTCAGTCAATCATAAATGTAGCTGTCAAACTTATCTTTCCTATCAAATACTTCACTAATAATCCACCCTTAGTCAGTCTGTGCACTGGCTCCCTATTTGTAATTGCATCAAACCTCTAATCACCTACAAGACTCCTCATAATAATTGGCCTGCTGGCCACATCCCTTGTCCCCATTTTAAACCTTTCAGTTCTTTAGATAGCTTGGTCCTTTCATGTCCTCTCATTGCCACCTTCCATTCTCCAATCCAAGATTTCTCCTGTTACAGTTTTACTATAGAAACCGCATTCCCATTCTGCTAAAGTGTTAATTAAACATCAGCCCCCCTCAAATCATTTTTCTTTAGAAAGACCTGTTACACATTTTATATTCCCTAATAATTTCTTACTTTGTTTTACTGGTCATATGTGATTGTCACTTTGACATGACAGTTGAAATAGGGTTCACATGTACAGTAGAATAGGCTATTTAATTTTTGTAGATTGGGGAACAATTATTTATTGGCCATGAACACTTAGAATCTAAGAGGACTTAATGTTCTATTTTTTTTAGATGGCATGCATTGAAAATGTAGTTATTTTGAACTGAAGTAGAACCATAGCCTCCCATTTAAAAATATTTGCTGCAGATCTGGAGACGGCAACCCGCAGATGCAGCAGTGCCGTCCGTCCATTTTTCTACTACGGGCGGACGGCAAGAGGTTAAAGTAGAACTAAAGCCAACATTCTTTGGTTGTTATTGGCTTTTTAGGCTTGTATATAACTGGATTTGATACTTGTTTAGGGTATTAAACATGAGCTTTTAGATATATTAGATATATTTAAGTCACTGACATGTGATGCACAATAAAAATCTATATCTGTAATATATTTATATAGACGTGTGTGTGTATATCAAAGAAACATTTTTTTTTATGGCTTTGTTACAGATAGTGTTGGAGAATATCTTTTTATTTCTGGAAGAATATTTCATACAGCTCAGAGTTGTTGCAGTTGGTTCACATCTCCGCCCCTTTCCCCTTTATTCAGCGGCTTTTATGGATGCCCTTACCAGGATTATATA